GCCACCAATCTAATTACAGGGCATCAATGTGTCTGTACAAGACATTGTATTGAATACTACAAGCCACCAATCTGATTACAGGTCATCAATATGTCTGTATACAAGACACGGCGTTGAATATTACAAGCCACCAATCTAATTACAGGGCATCAATATGTCTGTATACAAGACGTCGTGTTGAATATTACAAGCGACCAATCTAATTATAACCGAAGGCATCAATGCATCTGTACAAGACACCGTGTTGAATATTACAAGCCACTCATTTGATTACAGGTCATCAATATGTCTGTATACACGATACCGTGAACAATATATACATGGCACAAGGTGAATAGCCATCAATATGTCTATATTTAAGACACAATCTAAATATTACAAGCCGTTAATCCAATTACATAGCATCAATATATCTGTATACAGGACATCATGAACGACATTTACACAATGTGAATAGCCATCAATATGTATATTAATTAAATACACTTTTATGGATAGCTACTTCTTTTATGTTTTGTCACGACGTTCCAGGGCTACTTCTTGCTCCTTAATCATTGTAGGGGCACGGATGGCCCAGTCGTCTAAGGCGCCGCGATTCGCTGTTCAGAGTTGGTTCCCTTGGGCACGCCAGAATCCTATGATTGTGGGTTCGAATCGCGGTTCGCCCCGATTATGTTTCTAGGTTTGTCAGCATCATACCCGTGCAAATGGGTTTCACCGAAGTGGTAAACGTCTGAGACCTGCATCACTTCGGGCTTTCCTCCCACATTAAGCTGACACGCCGCGATATACCTGGAATAGTGTTCAAACCGGCCTTAAACCCAACTCACTCACTTAAGACAGTATCATTAATGTAGACTACCAGATATACACCATGTGATGTTCCCTTTCCCTTTCTTCTTCTTCTTCTTCTTCTTCTTCTTCTTCTTCTTCTTTATGTATGTACCCGCATCCTTAAACTGACGAATACTGTTAAAAGCGGCGTTAAACCCAACTCACTCACTCACTCATCATTGTATTTTGAATATTTTCAAAGCGTCTAGGTGAATCCATGTCTTCAATATGTCTATATACATAGGCACTACGAATAACATGTACATGACCCCCGCGTCAGAGAATGTAAATGTGTGTATACATCATGAAGATCACCTACAGAGCGCCAGGGTACAGACAGGTCCCCAGCATGACTGTATAAGACATCAGAATAAATATGAGACACGAACATGTTTACAAGGAAACGCATGCTCGCTGTTTTATAATTCATACAGTATTAGTGTCAGTAATTAAATTACACAAAAATTAAAAATACATCCTCGGTCGGACAACTGTAGCGTGCATCCACCGTGGTGTACCGCTCGGGCCACGGTGGATGCAAACATAAATTTCTATTAACAATCACAAGAGTCAAATTTAGCAAGCAAAGGTGTAAATTATGCAGTAGCCTGTTGTCGGCTGTGCCGACCAGTGTAATGATAAATCTCACTCGAAATGGTGTTTCACACGAGGGCTATTTACCTGGCAAGAGCATCGTGCGAATAAATGAATGAGTGAGTTGTGTTTAACGCAGGGGCTGCTTTTAACAGTAGTCTAGTTTTATCACGGCGTGTCAGCTTAATATCGGAGAGAAGCCCGAAGTGATGCAATTCTCAGACGTTTACGACTTCGGTGAAATCCACGAGCACGGGTATGGTGCTGACAAACCTAGAAACATAATCTGGGCGAACCGGAATTCGGACCCACAATCATAGGTTTCTGGCGTGCCCAAGGGACGCAACTCTGCACAGCGAATCGCAGCGCTTTAAACAATTAGGTCACCTGGGTCACCCTGCAAATAAATAAGCATAATTTATGTAATTATGTTTAGTCTTGGGACATATTCCATATCACATTGTGGTCCAAATAACAAAAGAAACGTTCCCCCTATCGACGAACTTTGTGGTATAAACGTATTTTGTTTGTTTGTTTTGTTTGTTGCTTAACGCCGCACTCAGCAAAATGAGAGCTATTTAACCTCGGTCTGTATCACTCTAGTGTAAAAGCCTCAAAAGATAGATGCATGAAGTAGAGTGTCTAAATCTCAACGAAATCATCATCTAAAATGACAGTCATACAGCATCCGATATTGGTACGAGAGTTGCCCGAACTGAGATGGGGTAGCCAAAACAAGCTAAACAACGTAATGGACAAACATTTAACATCTAAGTTCAATGGCACGTCAAATTAATAGCGTGTATGAGCACCCCCTGCTATAAGACACGCAAAAACTCTCCGGCGAACAGAAAATGTCAGTCGTCTGATGACGTTACGTGGGATACGTCGCCATTATTCTTGGGAGGGCCTGAATCAGTTCTTGTCGGTTGACGGAAGGATGTGGTCGCTGTCGAGGTCATTCGAGGGGTGTTTTATGGGGGATATGACTGGGTAGCGTGCAGGCCACGTCGACATGTTGACGTTGTTGGTTGCAAGGAAGTTCTGTTCGATTCGGGTTCCTTTTGGTCTGATTGTCATGCTGATAAAAGACACCACGTGGTAGTTGTTGTAGAAATGGTAGGACCATCGGACGAGGAATGTCATCCACGTAACTCTGTCAAATTTCCGTTAACGATGACCAGTGGTGTTCTCTCCTGTCCACAAATCCCTCACATGCTGGTTTTCCTGCAGCTCTGAACAGACAGAACCGGCTTTCATCACTAAAGACGACCCTCTGCCAGTCACGTCGCCGCCAACCAAGTACAGGCCCATTTCAATCTCTGACGACGATATGGAGCCGTCAATAACTGTCCTCTGTAAGGTCTGTTAGCCCTTATTCCTTGAACCCTGAATCGCCTAGCCACTTTCTGTCGACTTACCTTATGCCCATTCGCATTCGTCGCTGATGACGTCACTGTCATGAATCGATTCCGAGAATCAAAGTATGCAAGTACACGGTCTTCATTGCGCATAGTTACCCTTGGTCTGCCTGTTCTTGGCCTGTCTGATGTCTGCCCGGACTGTCTGTAACTTTGCATTAAGTTAGTTACAACAACTCTAGAGCAACCATAAGTTCTAGCAATGTGGGCATGGGTGGCTGCCATCTGTTTCATACCCAGGGCCTGCTCGCGTTGTTCGGGTGTCAGTCGTGACATTTCTGTGGCGGTTTTTATTAGTGTGAGTGTCTGACACACCTTCCGTATCATTTGGGCGGTCGGGTAGCCTAGTGGTTAAAGCGTTAGCTCGTCACGCCGAAGACCCGGGTTCGATTCCCGACATGGGTACAATGTGTGAAGCCCATTTCTGGTGTCCCCCGCCGTGATATTGCTGGAATATTGCTAAAAGCGGCGTAAAACCATACTCACTCCGTATAATTTATTTGCCCTTATTGCACGTGTAGGTATGGCTGCCCAAGTGTTTTCACTTTTGGTCGTCAGTTTAAGGATTCGAGTACATACATAAAGAAGAAAGGGAAAGGCAACATCACTTTGTGTATATCTAGTAGACTACATTTATGTTACTGTCTTAAGTGAGTGAGTTGGGTTTAAAGCCGCTTTGAAGACTATTCCAGTTATATCATGGCGTGTCAGCTTGATGTGGGAGGAAAGCCCGAAGTGATGCAGTTCTCAGACGTTAACCACTTCGGTGAAACCCACGAGCACGGGTATGGTGCTGACAAACCTAAAAACATAATCGGGATTCATAGATTTCTGACGTGGCGAATTGCGGCTTAGACGACAGAGCCACCCTTATCCCCGATTCCGAAGTACGTCATGCTTGTCATGGAGGCCGTCTGAGATGGGATAGGGTGGTAGGGCCTGTGTCTTGACGCATTGCCTGTTGTCGTGGCCCGATGCCTTGAATTGTTGCTCTAGTGGTCTTATAGTAGAGCGCCTGCCCGGAGAACGGAAAGTCGATCTCCGGCCACGTTCAGCCAGGGTGGAAACTGGACTTTTATAGCCAGTTTACACCCCGTCACGTCTCGTCTCTTACAGTTGCCTGTAACATGGTCTTTTTCGGAGTGACAAATATACAATTTGATAAAGTAGGTTCAAATGAATGTTGTATGTACAAAAATCTTTTGAGTTACTTTCATAAGTCATTAACTCTGCTGACCAAGGTGTTGTGTTTATCGTGAATTTTAAAATAACTTTTATTAGAAATATTGACTGACCTGATACATGCGTTGTAACCTCAACAATATAATATCAAGCAAATATTAGTATTAGTATTTTTTACCTGAGTGGCAGTTGTTAGTCTTAATCGATGCCATATGATCAATACCCACAACACCAAAACAACCAACAGGTGTTTATAAAGCTATAATACACACACACACACACACACACACACACACACACACACACACACACACACTCTCTCTCTCTCTCTTTCTCTCTCTCTCTCTTTCTCTCTCTCTCTCTTTCACACACACACACACACATTGAAACTGTCACGGTAATCTCGGTAACTCAAAAAGTCATTATTTCATGTAATCTTTTCAGCAAAATTATTAAACACAACCAATGCCCCTTAACGAGTTCAATGGCCTAAATTTCTCGATTAGCAAATACAATACGGACCGATTACCTAATTACAATAGCTTACAGAACAGCGTGCATTAACCCGTTGTTCCTTATGTGGCCCTTATGTTTAACTAAAGGATTTCTATAATTGCATAACATGTCGGATTTACCCACAGTGAGAAGTAGCGTACATAATTACCAATACCCACCGGGGCTCCTTGTTTAAGACATCGAGCCCTGATTAAGGATGAACCAAATCTGTAGCATATGAAAAAATAACCCCCACCTCTCCCGTCGTCATGGTGTATGTCGCACCCTACGTGGTATAAGGCCATTATACAATGGGATGGATCCCAATCAGATCATGTCTATGGTTTAATTAAGGACACAGTTACAGCTCATATCAATCAAGTTGTACAGACAATACTACATGCTCGAGTGTCGGTGTGCGTGCAAGATGGATCTAAGTTCATGACGGGCAGGGTATTAACATGAAGGCTGGTTATAGACTATAGGTAAACTCAATGGACCTTGACTTGATAGGGCCTCAAGAATTAGATTATCCTGGGGCTTTGGCAGAGGGAACTGTTAGTATTGTGTTGACTGTGCGCAGGGTGGACTGTTTTTGGTTGAGAAGCTGACTTTGACATTTTGTTGCATTTGGACATATTGTTCAACGTATCACATGAAGCGGATTCATTGTCTGCATCACCTGTGGTGACTTTGTGAAATGAGTTAATCAGCATCGCCGTGAATGATTCGAGGGGAAGTTTTGGAAATGGAATTCGGTGCCATACGTCATGGATTCAGATGACGTCTTGTTTATACACTAGGTTACAGTGTAGCCGGTCAGTGTGAAGGCTGACCAGTGGTCAGTTTTGGCTGGTTTAAGTTTATTTGCTGCAAACCGAACAAATATGACGTCGGGGACAGAGAGCTCCCGATCCTATGGGTCCATGAACCCTGATATCACGCCCCGGTCTAAGGTAAGGAGTATGCATAGCATATACAATTATATAAACAAGTGAGTTCTTCAGGTGTATACTCATTAAACATACAAAAAAGTCCATATATATATCTGGACTGACAGCATGTGCATCTAACAACGCAATAGGGATACACTGGCATACATCAACCGAGTTAGCGTACGACAAGCATGGGTTACAAAAGGCCACATCTACACACACACACACACACACACACACACACACACACACACACACACACACACACATATATATATATATATATATGCATGTGTGCATCCGAATCGACACGATGCTTCTATTTCAGATATTTACATATAAGTCAGGGGGCATGACATATTTTTAATGACAACTCTATTATTTCTTAACGATCAAAGAGCTTACTTACCCTCAGAAAGCTTACTTCCTTTGTCCATGCAGAGAGATGGATAAGGTCGCTCTACACATCCTTAAGTAAAAACATTAAAATCCCAAAACTATTTTCTGTAGTATTTTAAGTAATGGGAAAATCTGACACTTGCCACAATCCAAGCCACTCCCTCTAAACCCTGTTCAACAAAGACAACGGTGTATTCTCAGCCATCTTCAACTACCAGTTTGGTGACGGAGAAATGCCAGCGCCAGAAACACGATACATGTAATCTCCATGTCAAACAAACATATCGATGGTTCAGCCATATCAAGTTATATAATTAACGTGTATGTTGCAATGTAGCATCTACTCTGAACGTATGAATATTTCATAACCCCGAAGATTATAACGATTAGATAAAAAAATATACCTCATTAAGCGTGCCCACGATATTGTTCTAATGTTTTTGGGTATATTTAAATACGAGTAACATAGTTGTCATGACAACACATAGACAACTCGTACAAAGAAGGGGCGGTCGGGTAGCCTAGTGGTTAAAGCGTTCGCTTGTCACGCCGAAGATCCGGGTTCGAATCCCGACATGGGTACAATGTGTGAAGCCCATTACTGGTGTCCCCCGCCGTGATATTGCTGGAATATTGCTAAAAGCGGCGTAAAACCAAACTCACTCACTCGTACAAAGAAATAGACAACTCAGCTGAGGAATACGTTAGGAGACTACTAATGACAGGATACGAAATTGACAATTAGTAAACAGGAACTGACAAGAGACCAGCGGGTTGGTGTACATGTCATTGTCAGCAGAGAATGCTCTCATTAGCGACCGTATCTGTCTCTGAAGCCTTTATGTTCATTTCTTCACAATCTGCTAGATGAACAGTTAGGCTTAGTGTTTACGGGATTGTTGAAATTCTTTTGTCAAGGGGTTCGTGTCAAAGGCGACATAATGATGTCGCGCAGGGCTGATTGACGTGTGTTGTGGGGGAGGGTGGCGTGATGCCAATAGATTAACGTTGCATGTGACATGGCAGATATACCTATGGCTGTGGTTCTTATAATTTACCAGGCAAAGATCGATTCAATTTGTTTATATCCCGTAAGTTAGTGAGGGTCTGTGATTTTGCGCCATTTTAGCAATATTCCTGCAGTATAACGGCGGCGGACAAACATTACACCCATTCGAACTCCATCTTCCCGAGGCAAGGGAGTTAATTGACTTTAAAAGTCCAGTTTCCACTTTTATAGTCAGTTAACTCGCTTGCCTCGGGAAGATGATCGAACCCGGGCCTGCGTGACGAGCGAACGCTTTAACCACTAGACCACCCTGCCGCATCCTTATTCTGTAAAGTAACCAGGATAATAATGATGATGATAATGGTGGTGGTGATGTTGATAATGATAATGTTGTTGATGATGATAGTATTCCATGTTAAACATAAATTAAAGTGAAATTAAGATAACGGATATCTTTACATGAATTAGGCCTAACTTTGTTTGTCTGCTTTATTTACCGACCCGCAGACCTTAAAATCGAAAATTTAGAAGAAATTTAAACCTGAATGACAAGGTAAAAGATCGCTTTGACAATAAAAATTATCCAAAGTATATGATTAAAGCTGATTTTTATCCCATTGATAAATCGTCATTTTTTTAATGAGCTTACCGATCTGAATTAAAATTAAAGATGTTTTTAAAACATCCCGTACAATGCATTTTGTTCGTTTATGTTTTTCGTCTGGTCATAATGAACGACTGAACAGTCAAATGATGACCGATCTGCCAAACACACATCAGGTAGGAGTAATATTTATATATGTAGAGAATTCATCATTTGGTACATACATTTAAGTAGATAGTTAAGTTTAATTATACAACTAGCATACTTTAATTATACAACTAGCATAATATAGAGCTTGTAAATTAACCTGCATTCAAATATTGTTATTTTTTGTTTAATCGTCTGTATCATATCTGTATTTCACCAATAACCACGACAAGTGTACAAGTACACTAATATTATTGATAACAAATACATACAATGTGATTTAAGGCGACTGGACAGACATATTTGTATTTATTCACTTCACTGTATGTAATATGTGGCACGTGGTCCTGCGTATCGCGCAGAGGTAAAAAAAATCAGGCGAAGATAAGAAACGTTAGGTGCGGAGAGTTGGTGGATGGTTAATATAACCAGAGACCATATCTATTAAATGGCCTCTGATATAACTTTAGGTTTTAGGTTTTCTGTCAGATGACTTACCTTTTGGCAATATATATTAGCGGTTTTATAAAAACTATTGTCAGGAAGTTAACATGTACGTCACATGATCATAAACCATTAATTAAATATCTCGAGGCCTAATATCCGAATATAATCACGGTTCGCCAACCCTGACTATCAGCTCGGTGCTGTATAGCCTTTAACGTATGTAACGAGCCGCGTTACAGGGCAGTTCGTTACATTCGTTAAAGGCTTATACAGTAATATACCCAAAGTCTCCACCTTGTACACATCCAGGCTGAGAGCAGCTGTTTCAGGGGTACCAACTTAATCGTGTTAAAGCTTCCAGAAACTAGGTTCCTTTGTGTCGGAATTCGTCGTAAGAAGATTTGCCAGTCAACCGAGAAATTCCCCCTTTGAGGGGCCGGTCATACAACAGATTGACCTCCGATTTCTGACATGTGGGTAAATTGCACGAGCAAGAACTGGTTGTGAAAGAATTTGTCAAAACATACACGGGGGAGATAAATAATTTTGTGCATGACCAAACTCTGATTGAGTATCGATTGATTTATGCATATTTGTCTCAATGGGAATTCTTCTTTATTAATAAACAATGACACCGAGAGATTTGCACGACTCTATGAAAGAAATTTTGGGGATATTCGTAAAATTATAAAATCAATCTCATTAAAATCACATCTTAGTTTTCGCTCAAAGTTCGCGCAAGGTCGGTCTGATGTGACCCGTAATGGGATGGTCTGAGGACATCCCATTACGGGTCACATCAGACCGACCTTGCGCGAACTTTGACCGACCAATCAGAAGGCAGCTTTCTCGTGCTTTACAGCACTAATTTCAAATTGGCGACTACGCTTCGAAACAAATTTTGACAAATTCTCGATTACAAATTTGAAACCTGAACAAAAGAACATTATGGAATGGCTAATAGATGGTCTAGATTGTATGGATTCAGTCGTTAAAACCGTAACTATCGTTCGGAGTAAATTTTTCGAGGTTGCATGATTAGAAGTTACATTCCGACTGTCACTTTCATAATCTGGTAAGCGATGCTCTGATTAGTCGGATGAACGGTCGTTCAGACGTGACCCCTAATGGGATGTCCTCAGATCTTTGTTCAGCGGTAGCGAGAACTGATGTCTGATTTTAGTGAGATTGATTATAAAATCAACATGTCATTTGATGTATTGGTTGTTCACAGTTATGCAGCTCAGTGTTTTTTGTTTGCTTTCAATCAATTATAATAGTGTGTCATATATCCTATTTTTATACTGTCAGTAACATAACTTTTTTCAGTCCTGTTTTATGTTTCGTAACATATAGAAATCGTAAAGAAATCCGAAATTCGTTTTTTCTTTCCACGAACGTTTTTGCACAACGTTAACATTTCTAACGCTGTATGTTTGGGCACTGCATCGAGTTTTGGATTGAAGGGCATCGCAACTGATCTCCATTTCCAACCAGAGCAACAATGTGGCAAGAACAATGGCTATAGGTTAACATATTAATTCGCGTATTCCATTTCCGTTTTTGTCTTTATTTTATGCGAAAAGATATTTTATTTTGACGATGTAACGGACACAAATTGAAACTATAATGTTTAACTCATTTAAAACCTGTCATAGTCGCATATTAAACCCAACTGTGTTAATTATAAAGCGTAAATGAATGAAACACATTTGAACACCTCGTCCTTTGAAAGGTCATTGTATCCCATCTGCCTTTTCGTATTTTTTTTAAGACATGTGTGCGATTGGAGTTCAGTTCTAATCTGCTTAAAATATCATATTTTTACCATTTTGGACTTAAATGATCGCTATTATAATATGGGCTTAATGAAAACTAACGGAGCACACCGCTGCAAGTTATCTGACACTAGGCTACACATTGCAACACTCTATCCCTATATTCACGACGAATGGTATTTTGCATAGTCCTGAAGACTTAACGGGTCGACCCGTGAAGATCTGGGTAGGGAATAGCTCTTCAGTATCCCATGCTTGCCGTAACAGGACGCAATGCTTGTCGTAAGAGGAGACTAACGGGATCGAATGGTCCGGCTCGCTGACTTGGTTGATGCATGTCATCGTATCCAAATTGCGTAGATCGATGCTCATGAGGTCAATCACTGGATTGTCTGGTCCAGACTCGATTATTTATAGACGTCATATAGCTGGAATATTGCTTAGTGCGGCGTTGAACAACTAACAAACTAACAAACTTCACGGGTCATTGTTAACGCGCGGTCATATATGAACACACAATCTAAGATACTACAATCGGTGATTTGCCGAATTGACATGCAGACTTATGAGTGAGTGAGCTTGGTTTAACGCCACTGTGGACAGTTGTTCAGTTATATGGGCGTGTCAGTTTAGCATGGGACGAAAGCCGGAAGTGACGTTTTTCACATTGGTGACACCCACGAGCAAGGGTATGGTCCTGACAAACTTAGAAATATTGTCAGTTCGAACCTGGGTTCGAACCCAATATCACAGGCTTCTGGCACGTATAAGGGAGGCAACTCTGCATACCTGGGCCCTACATTTGACTTATACTGCTTTTTAACGTGTGGCTGACGCGATAAACAATATAACATATTCATGTCTGGTACCTATCCAATGAGAAATATGTCATACTTAATACCCTATTTAAGCATTTATATCGTCGTCGTGTGATGTCAAATTGCTGATTAGATTAATACTCCTGACTTACATGTATCCTATGTCAGTATAAATCTTTTTATCGCATAAATATCAGGTCTGGTATTTACATAGTTAATCGCTTCACAGCTCGCCAGCAAACAAACGATTGTAACGTTTATGGAAGTCACGTGACAGTAGGGTATATCCCCTGACTCGGTATGTCAGTCATGTTGTGTATCTCTTTATCACGTGTTAATTTCATGACGTCATTACCACACAGGATCTCGCGAGCATTGACATCTGATCCGAGGGTCAACAAGCAGTAACAAATACGTATTCTTTAACTGTCTCGAAACGAAACATCTTGGGATGTTTATCAAGGATCTACCCCCTACAGCAAGTGCGTTTAGGTTTGTAGTTACTGTGTTTTGCATGTAAGTTGGTGATATCAGCCCCCACAATCTGCAAGACCCTACCAAATCAATGACTGGCTGTTTAACCATGAGATGATATTTATTGATAAGTTATCAGAATAATCAGAAATAGCAGAAACTAAAGATCAATTCAACTACATACATGTAGGAGACAGGTTTGTGCGTTTTTTTTAAATTATTAGTTTAGATTTTGATGTTTCCGTATTGTGATTTTTATTCATGAATGCAAAATAACTTTGCATGAAAGCGTTGTTCATTTATGTTTAACGGGGGGCACGGGTGGCCCAGTCGTCTAAGGCGCCGCGATTCGCTGAGCAGATTGGCGTCCCTTGGGCACGCCAGAAACATATGATTGTGGGTTCGAATCCCGGTTCGTGCTGACAAACCTACAAAACATAATCGGGGCGAACCGGGATTAGAACCCAGTATCATATGTTTCTGGCGTGGCAAAGGGACGCAACTCTGCACAGTGACTTGCGGCCCCTTCGATTGTCCCTTCCACTTGTAGTGAATGAATTTAACACGACAAACCTGAAGTCATAATCCGGAAAGCACCTCTCTGCACAGCCCAATCCTGGCCCTGTCAACGAATGCCCCGTTATATTTATCTTTAGATGACAAAAACTTAATCAGTACTTTTAACAGGATATATACAAAATATTACACTATATTCCTAATGTCTACTAAAGCCATTTATCTTCCAGTTCGATATATGGAACCTGATAAAAAGGCCCATGACAGCGAACTCCTACCAACTGACGGCGCGGTACCGCGTCAAGAGCGCCCCGGTGCGACGCGCAAAGAGCGGTGTTGTGACGCGGCGTCGGCGACGGCCGGAGTCCCGTGCTGAGAGTGAGGGGTGCGAATCTATCCAGAGCATCACGACTGCCACGGACTGCACCTTCTTTGATTTGGACAAGGATTTGCCGGACGACTTCTTTGATCAAGATGGTAGGTTAATTTGCAAAACCGCGGTTGCAACATTTTCTATAGATGTTACATGTTATTTAAGCGTTGATTTTCACTTTGTGTGACTTCATTTGAGTATGAACCTTCACAGAGTGAGGGCCAAACTGTATGAAGGTAAGAGCTTTCGACGTTGAAAACGTATGGACGTCAAATTGTGTCGTTCAGACACTTATGAACGTCAATTTCGCGGTCATGTGACCGACCTCTCGTCCAATGGAAAAGCCGTATATCGTGTTAACTTCATATTAAAAAAAGGTTTTTGCTTTAAAACTTTTTATGATCATAATATATTTTGTATGACTTGTTTATATCTTCGTCAATGGTCATAACCTGGTCTATGATTATAACGGTTACGATAATATTTTTCACGGTTTTTACATGTCATGTGTAACGCTGATACTCAAATATTGTTAAGAGCGTTAAAACCGACCCCCTCACCCACTCACCCCCTCACTCACCCAACATTTGAAGATGAAGACCATACAAATAGACAATCTTCATCAATTAAAATGTTGTTTCGTCAATTTTAAACTTGATTCTGCGTCTAGGGTGCCGGAGTTCGCAATGTAGAGTTGCGTCCCTTGGGCCTGCCAGAAACCGACGATTGTGGATTCGAATCCCGGTTCGCCTGAGTTATGTGTCTAGATTTGTCAGCACCATAAACGTGCTCATGGTTGACTAAAGTGGAAAACGTCACTTCGGGCTTTCCTCCCACATCAAGCTGACACGCATAGATATAAATGAAATAATGTTCAAAGGGGCGTTAAACCCAACTCACTCACTCTCTATTTTCTCGTGCTATTGGAGGAAATACTCATGATCCTGAAATCTCTCCATCACGCGCGTGATCCCGAAATCCCTCAACCACGCGCGTGATCCTGAAAATCCTCCATCACGCGCGTGATCCTGAAAATCCTCCATCACGCGCGTGATCCTGAAATCCCTCCACCACGCGCGTGATCCCGAAATCCCTCCATCACGCGCGTGATCCTGAAAATCCTCCATCACGCGCGTGATCCTGAAATCCCTCCACCACGCGCGTGATCCTGAAATCCCTCCATAACGCGCGTGATCCTGAAATCCCTCCATCACGCGCAACTGCTTTTAGTCTAAGGTGGCAGGGGCAAATCACAATGCGTAAAAGCACAAATTAAGAATATCGGTGAAGTGAAAGAAATAGTAAGAAAGGAAAGTTAACCACTGTATGGTTTATTGATGTGTTGGCTTTCAACACGCCGGTTGGAGACTTTGCACCAAGTCGTATTGTGTTAAAATACACTTGTCGTGAGGGTAATGGTATCTGAATGGCATGTCTCATACTGGTTGAAGACAAAAGAAATATTTAAACTGCGTATTCAAACAACATAAGTACAATTCCAGAGTCGAAGCTTGTTTAGAGGAAATCGTAGGTCATCAAGGTCTTCAAAATGTCAGAAGATGTAACAAAGGAACTGGTGTATTCTTCCACTGGTAATGTGAATGTGTATTCATATGTTATGGTTTTTTGTTTAACGGCCAGCTCAACAATATTCCAGCTATATGACGGCGGTCTGTAAATAATCGATTCTGGATCAGGCAATCCAGTGCATCGAGCATCGATCTACGCAATTGGGATACGATGACATACATCAACCAAGTCAGCGAGCCCCATGCGATCCCGTCAGTCGCCTCTTACGGATAGCATGGGTTGCTGAAGACCAATTCTAACCCGGATCTGCATGGGTCGAATAGAAATATATCACCATAAATGGTATGGTATTTATGTCGTTATACCACGGTGATTGGTTTCTATAGGTCAGAATGAGGATGCGTCACACTGAAACAATTATATCGTATGTAAGCAGTTGGTTGAACAACAATTATATGGAGGATTTGGGGACAAAGAGATCGAGAGTGGGAAGTCACTGGTTCAACAGGTGTCACAGCAGGATCCCCTTGTCTAGGTATTGGGATATAGGATTACTGGTCAAGTCTGGAGGTCAGTTGGGGGTCGGACAGAGAAAGGTAGAAGTCTTGTTCGCGAAGGATGAAAATCCACCCATTTGGCAAAACAGTCGTTCTTGAGTTAAGTTGTCATTGACAGTGTATTATAAGAAGCTGTTTCTGGTAAGATGCAAGCGTGTTGAATTACGTGTATTGGGGAATAGGGTTGACGTGTGTAATTTACATTTTGTGAACAACTCTCGGTTTGTAGTCTGGGTCTTTGTAGTTTGGATGAAATGAATATTTGATCAGTGCGTTTTCATAACTGTTTAAAAAATTGGAAGAACTACTCTGCATGAAGTTAGAGGATTTCTTTTATCCCCTTGATACTTGGGTACTTTCTTTCATGAAAGTATTACATGGGTGGCGTTGGTTATGTACTGAGGACGATCGATGTACATTTAAGGCTGTAATTGTCGTGCTGGAGTTGAATGTCAACCCTGTATTCAATCGTATTTCATAATTATTTCGCGATGGCCTGTAAGTTCCTGTGGGCATCGACGCACGTCATCAGTGTATGATGTCACACAACCATTCAGAAAACCCCTGTAACCGACCAACTTCCGGTTTGTGTCAGCTCTTACTCACAATTAGCGTCGTATGTCTGTCTCATCAGTCACATATTCCAGCCCGGACTGAGAGTTTCCCCACAGCAAATCAGCCATACAAATACGATCATGATTCATCAGGAGGCTCCACGGAATATTGTTTGATTGTTTGTTTGATGTTTAACGCCGCACTCAGCAATATTTCAGATATATGACGGTGGTCTGTGAATAATCGAGTCTGGACCAGACAGTCCAGTGAGTGACATCATGAGCATCGATCCACGCAATTGGGATACGATGACATGCATCAACCAAGTCAGCGAGCCTGACCACCCGATCTCGTTTGTCGCCTCTTACAGCAATCATGGGTTGCTGACGACCTATTCTCTACCCGGATCTTTACAAGTAGGGGTGGTGGAGCAGTCTAATTGTTAAAGCGTCCGGGTTCGATTCCCCCAATGGGAACGTATGGGTGTTCTCTGCTGTACGTACTACTTCACGTACTACTTCTTGAATATCGTTAACACCGGCGTAAAACCCAACTCACTCACCAATTACACCACTAGCTTACGTTTGGCGTATGTTCTGAGGGTCGAATGATTACATTGTGTGACATGTCAGATTGCTCTGACTAGACCATTGCTCATCAACTGGTGTGACTCGACTTTTACAGGTGTGCGTGTTATGGATGGAATATTGATGTCTGTCGTGTGTGTGTTTGTGTGTGTGTTTGTGTGTGTGTGTGTGTGTGTGTGTGTGTGTGTGTGTGCGTGTGAACATTGCGAAAATATTTTGTAAAGAATGATTTGTTTGTTTGAGTGTTTGTTTGTTATTTAACGTCACACTTAGCAATATTGCAGCTATATGACGGCGGTCTGTAAATAATCGAGTCTAGACCAGACAATCCTGTATTGACATCATGAGCACCGATCCACGTAACTGGGATCAATGACATGCATCAACGAAGTCAGCGGGCCTGACCACCCGATCCCGTTAGTCGCCTCTTGCGACAAGCATAATCGCCTTTTACGGCAAGCATGGGTTGCTGAAGACATATTCTACCCCGGATCTTCACGGGTCTTTCAAACTCGATGTTTGCTGTGTGAATGGTTGTCAAAGGTATGTTGGTCGTTAACAATCAGATATTGCGTAGATTTCACATGAGAGAAGAGAAGAGTAACGACACCGCGTATTTATCTTGTGAAAACACAAGCCGGTAAACCTTTTGGAGTTTGTCAGCCTGTTAGCAAACTTGTTGCCCGTGTGAAGCCACCTATTCATATCCTTTGACGCCTTCAGATGACGAGGCCGACTCGCCACGCCGACCCCAGAGTATCGCAGGAACCCACAGTCAGAAAATGTACCTGCGCACGTGCAAAGCGATGAGGATCACCCCAACCAACTACGTGTTCCGCCACCTAGCGGAGGAGAAGATGGACCTCAAGCACCACCTGCTGGGACCGGAAGGAGCAAAGGCATGCGCGATATCACTCGTTGTAAGTGACCTTGACTCCAACATTGTAGCCAGGTAGAATTCTAATAGATAACATATCTTACGACGAATTGTCCTCCAACAAAATGCCATTGTACTGTTTGGCTTCATGGCCACATATACGAAATAAATCTGTCTGTCTGTATGGCATATCTTACTCGGTACATTTTTAAAAAATCGACTGGAGCGTACCAAGATATGCTCTGTTAGATGTACATGTGTTTGTGGAAAACAATCTGTAAATGATTCTGAATACATAGCTGGCCAAAAGAGGATTTCGGGTAGCCCAGTGGTAACAACGTTGGCATATATCACACTGAGGACCTGGTTCGATTCCCAACAATAACAGAATATGTGAATCCCATGTTTTGGGTCCTATGCCTCACTGAGGCTGCGTAAAAACTCATTTACTCACTATTGGGTGTGGCAGCCGTAGAGAGGGGCATGCTTAACCTTTTCGCAGACACTCGGTAGAGTAAATGCCACTATTTCAGTACTTTTTTGTGTGTTTTTTTAATCGTTTCCATTTTCTTTGTTCGTACGCTTGTACACATGTCAAGTATTGTTCAATGGCGTTTATTCCCAAATACAAGTTGGTTGATTGGTTGGTTGTTTTACGCCGTACTCAGCAATATTCCAGCTGTATGACGGCGGCCTGTAAATAATCGAGTCTGGACCAGACAATCCAGTGGTTGATATCATGAGCATCGACCCACGCAATTGGGATCGATGACATGCTTCAACCAATTCAGCGAGCCTGACCTCCCGATCCCGTTAGTCAGCTCTTACGACAAGCATAGTCGACTTTTACGGCAACCAAACACAAGTAACACTACTGAATCAGCAGAGGTGTTTATTTTGACGCATGTCATGTTTGTGTTCTAAAGGAGAATTCAACCGTCCTGAACCTTGACCTCGAAGACAACGCAGTCGGAGTGAAGGGGGCGGGCTATATCGCCGAGATGCTGACAGAGAACAGCTTCATCACAGAACTGGTCAGTAGCCGCCACATCGATGTTTGTGTTCAGTCGGCAATGAGTCCTATTTCTTACATGATTTGTGAAAAAACTGAGTTAACATTATTTTCTCAAGGAGCAATGTCCATTCATACTTTGACAAATTCAGGAATATTTTTCCGGAAATTGTAGTTATCAGATTTGGGGGTTCGAAAATGTAGGGGCGGGCTATATCGCCGATGTGCTGACAGAGAACAGCTTCATCACAGAACTGGTCAGTAGCCGCCACATCGATGTTTGTGTTCAGTCGGCAATGAGTCCTATTTCTGACATGATTTGTGAAATAACTGAGTTAACATTATTTTCTCAAGGAGCAATGTCCATTCAGACTTTGACAAATTCAGGAATATTATTCCGGAAATTGTAGTTATCATGCGATTTGGGGGTCTTTAAGGGGTCGTTTTTAAGTGTGTGTTTTAAAGTACAAATACATCATAAAAATAGAAGTACGCTTCCAGATGTTACCATGTATCTTGTTCTCAACCTCTCTTTGTCTTTCGAGAACCTTGACACAAACTGTAACTGTAATTTGCTAGCTAGATGCGATGTTTGCAGCCTCATTCTCAACTCACCACCTACTTATTTCATTCAGATAATCTCCAGAAGAGATTCCGACCAACAATGAATAAGTTTTGGCATCATTGACAATGGACTATTCTCATAGCATTCAAGATGTTTCATTCCTTTTCTTTTGAAAAACGAAATAACAAAACAAACGAACGTTCAACGTATATAATTATCCTTCAATTTTAATGAAGAATATACCCATTTGGCGAGCCTCATAAATAATAGATATAACATCATGAGCAATCATTTCTCAAGGGAACGCCTTACGCCAATGAGTACACTTTTCGGGATGTGTTCATTATTGGAGAGGGGTCAGGATTGGCCAGCGCACAATTCACAACCGTAGTTGCGTCTGTAACTGTGCCAGGATCCGCTGGTCGAGGGTTCGAATCCAAGATTCTTCCCGATTATGATCCACTGTTTTTCGTTCATATACCACTGGTTTTCACTATAATGGTGAACGTCTATAATATATTTCAGTTTGGGCGCTGTGATTTACCTAGGCGTTGGGATAGCGTTGTGGTTAAAACGTTCGCTTGTCACACCGAAGGCCCGGGTTCGATTCCCCACATGGGTTCAATGTTTAAAACCCATTTCTGGTGTCCCCCCCGCCCGCCGCCTCCGTGATATTGCTGGGATATTGCAAACGGCGTAAAACCATACTCACTCACTAACTGAAATTCAGATGCGTAAAACCTACCTCACTCACTCCTACTTGTAGAGTCTGGCCCACAACGACCTGAGGACGGAAGGCGTAAAGGCCATTGTGAAGGTCATACACGATCTGGACAACGTCACCAAACTGGACCTGTCAGGTATGGATTACCACTCGCCCATATCAGTCACCCGTATCTTACCATGCCCCCGCCAGTCGCAGGTCAGGAGACATTTAGTTCGCACAACAATACAACCTTGACTGGGTTTCTGCCTCCCTAAACTAGTAGACAGGGGGTGGCCGATTTCTCGTAGGCTGTGGTTGGACCAGACTAAACATGGCTTTCATTGGTCCTCGGTACCGAACGTGGCAAACAGCGGACTACTGAATTTAGTCTTTGAAGTAAAATTGCTCTTGCCAAATTAACATCAACAGAGCCGTTTGATATGATAAACTACGATGTGTAGCCATATCTTTATGTTTATTTACAGTGGTAATTGTCGAATCCCGGTTCGCCCCGATTATGATTCTAGGTTTGTTGACGGTCGGATAGCCTAGTGGTTAAAGCGTTCGCTCGTCACGCCGAAGACCCGTGTTCGATTCCCGACATGGGTACAATGTGTGAAGCCAATTTCTGGTGTCCCCCGCCGTGATATTGCTGGAATATTGCTAAAAGCGGCGTAAAACATACTCACCCACTAGGTTTGTTGGCACCACATGCGTGCTCGTGGCTTTCACCAAAGTGGTAAACATCTTGACTTCGGACTTTCAGCTTCCTACCCCGCGATATCCACCGTGATATAACTTGAGTACTGTTTAAAGCGGCGTTCACCCAAGTCACACACTCACTCACTCACTCACACACTCACTACAGTCGTAATTAAGGACGCTACGCATGCGCACATAACTTGTTTTTATACAGATTTGTACCATATATTTGGGCTGCCATCCGTTGACTAAAAGCGCTAGATTTGCTTGGAGTGGAACCAGTTTTATGACAACATGGAAAGCTTTAAGATGCAAATGGCCACATGATCTTATTTCACTGCACCAGTGTGACGAGCATTAATCCGGATCCGGATCTGCGTCAATCACTGTCCAACAATGACGCCCTTATCGGACAAATTAAGAAAAGTAGAGATCGAGTGACGGATATTATTTGCAGTTAACCTGAAGAAACGAGAAGTCACGATATTTAGACATGGGATGCTGTGAATACCATGTTTTCGCGTTGTTGGTTCAACCGAGATCCATTCATGCTGTCTCTGAGTGAGTGAGTGAGTGAGTGAGTTGGGTTTAACGCCGTTTTTAACAGTATTCCAGTTATATCGCGGCGTGGAAAAGTTGGAGGAAAGCCCGAAGTGATGCAGGTTTCAGACGTTTATCACTTCGGTGAAACCCACGAGCACGGGTATTGTGCTGACAAACCTAGAAACATAATCGGGGCGAACCGGGATTCGAACCCACAATCATAGGTTTCTGGCGTGCAACTCTGGGACGTTGCAACCAAGGGGCGCAACTCTGCACAGCGAATCGCGGCGCCTGAGACGACTGGGCCATGTCTCTCTGAACATAAATCTTACCTTAACATTCAACGTCCAGCTTTCTCATGACAATCTGGTTCATTGGTATTCTATTCGGATAATAGAGGGGGTGTGAATTCTATGAATAAAATATCCAAAGTGTATTTTTGTGTAGATTGTTTGGCATTGGCGTTCGCGTCCCCAGGTTAATTACAGGTAGATGAAACCTGTTGATGGCGATTACATGTGACAGACACACGCACAATCAAGGTATAGTTCATTACAGGTATAGGTTCCATTCACATCCATAATGTATAGTGCGTAGATCGTGCCGGAATTCCGGGAAATTTGTTTAGATAAAATTAATTATTTCCATTGAAATGTGATAAGACGATAGAAAAGAATTTGTATCGAAGTTTTTGGTGGTTTGGGGCTAAACTGTTTTTGTGTTCATCAACTGTAACTAAAAGAATTAGAATTTTAAAGCATAGTGTCTTCACTTAAATCATGCCAATCGGCTTGTCTATCAATTATACATAGCCGTTGTAACCCGCATGTATCTCTATTGTTTTCTTAACACTTGGAACTGATTTAAAGGTGTTACCTTTGATGTTCATTAACGTAACGCGGACATTAATCTGTAAGACACACCTCATAAATTAGAAGACAAAACAGAACATTTACCTATCGGTGATTTATAATTCACATGTATATCTTATTTCAAACGACATGGTGTGGTTAAAAGCTCCGTTATTTCCTGTGCAGAGTTTCGTCCCCTGACAGAGCCTCGACTCGAAGCTGTGCCTGTTTCCAATATGAAATAAGATCAATATACACGTGTATAAGAACCATCCGAGATACAGTTGTTCCTATTTCCTAGTGTGTTGCGAATGTATGAGAACCTCTGAAAACAAAGTTATGAAAGTGCTCTTCAAACAAGGTGTATGTTATATATAGGCGTCACGTTCCACAAGCCATAGCCCCGCTCAACAGAAGATTTAAACCTCTTGTTTCTAGTTTTACTTTCATTAAACAAGATACCAAATATCCCCATAAAACACAAATATCCCCATCCATAAACGGATTAAATATAAGGCATGATGTAATAAATAATTTAATTTTAAATCCTCACAATATATACGTGTTGTCATGGCTGAAGACTACAATCCTAAGTCTTCGTGACGGAGTTCGTGGGTTCGAATCTCGATTGTTTTAAATCAAATAAATTATCAACTAAAGGTGAAAACAAGTTTCCGTTATCGCTTATTACAAGTGGTATCTAACTAACATTTGAATTATTAAGTCCGGGTTAAGGTGATTGTCCCATGGTTTAATGATGAAAATGGAAAAGTAAATATTAATCATTAGTTTTCATTCATGTGTGTATTTCGATAATTATATAGCAGAGGGGTATCGATGTTAACTGTTGATGTTCTACTTGTTATCGATATATTGATTATTGAAATACGGACCAAATAGTCACACACTCAAGTCAGTACCTTACCTACACTTCAGGCTTTCGTTCTACATTAAGCTGACACGCCTGGATATATCTGAACTACACAAAATATTCTTTGTTTTGTTTGTTTGTTTAACGCCGCACTCAACAATAATCCAGCCGTATGACGGCGGTCTGTAAATAATCGAGTTTGGACCAGACAATCAAGTGATTGATAACTTGAGCATCGATCCACACAATTGGGATACGATGACAAGCATCAACTAAGTCAGCGAGCCTGACCTCCCGATCCCGGTAGTCGCCTCTTGCGACAAGCATAGTCCCCTTTTACGGCAAGCATGGGTTGCTGAAGACCTATTCTACCCCGGATCTTCACACAAAATTCTCAAATATTCCGTGGTCTTGTGGTAGAGCGTCCGCCCGGAGAGCGGAAGGTCCAGGGTTCGATCCCGGGCCGCGTCATACAAAAAGACGTTAAAAGATTGTACTTGTTGTTACCCTGTCTGGCGCTCGGCATTAAGGGGCTAAAACAAGGACTGGTCGGCTCGGAGTCAGTATACTGTGTCTGAGTGGGGTATTCATGTTAAACTGCGGCATGGTATCTCAGTGAGCTGGCACTATAAATCGGCATCAGTCCGGACTAGTACAAGCAGCCACACACACACATACACGTGCATGCACGTCGCTATATAAGTGCAATAATCTTGGACGCGACGTTAAACCCAATTTCACCTCACCTCAAATATTCATATCTAATTCCAAAGACTCTGACTTTGTGTAATTTTGTTCTGTTATTTGTTACCAGGAAACAACCTACAAGAATATGACGGGGCCTTGTTCTCCAATCTCATTGAGGTACGGTTTTACGACAAAGTGAAACCCCTCCAATCCGGACGGCCTGGTTTCGGTAAAATTTCCGGTTTAGTAAAGGTCCGGATTAATGAATTATTGATGAAGTAGTAAGTAGGAGGAGTATTCATGTAAACTGCCGATAAAATGAAAATATACACACGTTTTATACAAATGAAACAAACATGAAATGGTTATTCGATGGTGATTTGATGATTAGATACAGGTATCAAAATTGTGTTTTCAGCCTAGTAACATTTTGATAACGTTTGTTATTGTTTGCTAAAATCCAATTTTCTAGCGTATACCTATTTTTCCTGTAGTTAATGCAAGTATGAGTGATGACTTCTACTCGTCTACTCGTAGACAAATGACTATACACCAACGATGGTGCTTCTCGCTAAGATCATTAATATGTGTCATACTAATATTTAGCTGTTTCTGTTACAGGATTCACAGAACCTTAAAGAATTAAAATTGAGTCACAACTGCTTCTGTGAGGTCGGCGGTAACGCCATTGGCGATGCCCTGGGTGTGTATAATCACGAAACATTGGAGTGAGTGAGTGAGTGAGTGAGTGAGTTGGGCTTAACGCCGCGTTGAACAATGTTTCATTTTTATCATGGCGTGTCAGCATAATGTGGGAGGAAAGCCCACTTTGGTGAAACCTACGAGCACGGGTATGGTGCTGACAAACCAAGAAACATAATCGGGGCGAACCGGGATTCGAACCCACAATCTGAGGTTTCTGGCCCGCCTAAGGGACACAACTTGTATAGCGAATTGCGACGCTTTAGACTGGACCACCCGTGCGCCCCGATAAAGTGGAATAGAAATAGCAAATAAGTAGAAACGGAATCATGTATTTGTAACAGTTTTCATAACTTGTTTTTTTAGGTTTTTTTTGTTTTTTGTTTTGTTGTTGTTTTGTTTTGTTTTTGTTGTTGTTGTTTATTTTGTTTTGTTTGTTTTGTTGTTTTGGTTGTTGTTGTTTGGTTGTTGTTTTTTAAGGGTTTTTTTTTGGGGGGGGGGAGGAGGGGGGGGGGGGGGGGGGGGGTAACCGACCGTTATCCCTAAGACAACGTAAAACACAGGTAAAACAATGTTGCCTTTATCAAAACGAGTCGAAACAGCATTGTCCATATTAATGAGACTCGGTTGTATATAATCCGTTAACATTGGTCAATGGAGGCTACTTCTCGCCAACAGTCTATCCAACTTTTCTTACTTGTTTGCGCAATGTTCACACACACAAGCTAATGTATCAACACAATTTGTCGTGTGAAACCTTCTAAGACCGTCAGGTAAAACCCTTCAACAAAGCGATTTTAGGGTTATGGCTGGCTTACGTAAGTCCCACACTCTAACTCAGAGGTCAAAGATTGCTTTGTTAAACGACGCTGAGAATTTCCGCCGGGGCACCGTTTCACAAAGTGATTTTAGGGTTACGACTACTACGTAACTCGCACATTCTCAACCAGAGGTCTAAGGTTGTATTGGACAACGGAGCCCTGAGCAAAGTTTAAACTTTCTCGGTTTCTCAGTATCTAGAAATGTTTTGCAGGGTGGAATGACACGATAGAGTTCTTGGACTTGAGCTGGAATCATTTGAGACGGTCCGGAGCCACATCGATTGCTAAAGGCATCGGCGTGAGTAGATACCTGTTGTATGACTAATGATGTGAAATAATCAGAGTGTGGCATTGTTTGGTGCTTGAAATTAACTGTTTACTAATTTAAGCTTCCGTGTGCGTCTGTATCCGTTAGGCCAGCAACGCCTGACCCTAAGATCTGGGGTAGAATAGGTCTTCAGCAACCCATGCATGCTATAAAAGGCGACCATGCTTGTCTTAAGAGGCGACTAACGGTTACACATTGCAACACTGTATCCCTATATTCACGACGAATGGTATTTTGCATAGTCCTGAAGACTTCACGGGTCGACCCTGAAGATCTGGGTAGAGAATATCCCACATTATGTGGATCGATGCTCATGTCAATCACTGGATTGTCTGGCCCAGACTCGATTATTTACGGAATTGCTGAGTGCGGCGTGAAACAACAAACAAACAAACACACCTAAGATCTGCCTTACATTTATGTCGGCCAAAAAGTCATTAAGGGGACTATTTCATTCCAGTTAGGATTTATGTATTTCATTTCTTAAACAAGACATCATTGGTATTTTAGACTTGTGTTTGTTATAATTTCGATTTGTGTTCTAAATGACGGAAAGAAAAGACAATCAAGAAATTGGTAGTGATAACGATATTATCCTCAAGACTAGTTATACAGTACACCTAGACTTAATGTGAATGCTATCATCCGTAAGACCTATATACCGATGTTAATAATTAGATAATCGTTATAAAGGGGATTATGTGGTTGGCATTAAGTACCGTAGTTATCCCAAAGAGATGTTTCGGCAGCAAACTAGGGTGGATATGTCAGATAATGAAAATACGCTCAAGGACTGAGCTTGTTATCGTGGTATAGTCTTACTGAACGTAGTTTCTTTATGCAACAGTAAACATTATTCTTAAATATTTCTGTTTTTTTTTTAAGTATTTCGATCAGTTCTAGGATTAATTATAAAATCCTTAATATCAAATAAGCTGCGTCGAAGATGGCATGCACTTATGATGTAAAAATCAACCCTTATAAGTTGAATATATCTTATTAGTTTTATGTGAAAAGTTGTTATGAATGTCTCCCAATGGTTCTTCTAGATCAACAGTGGTCTGAAGGTGCTGAACTTATCCTGGAACGGCTTCTATCTGGACGGGTGTAAGGAGCTCGCTAGCGCCATGGAAAAGAACACGACACTAGAGGACATCAACCTGTCATCCAACAGGATCAATAAACAGTGTCTTCAGGAACTCTGGAAGGGGCTCAAGAAGAACGAGACACTGCAGAAACTACGTGTGAGTATAACTCCACAAGTGTTACGTGAGTTGGCATATATGATAGGTACGCAGGTGTTACATCTGTTTTCTGTAAATAATTTATCTTACCTCCATGTCAGAATGTTGAGATCTGATTGGTTCACGTGATCTTGATAAAATACTACGTATCCCCCCTGGAATGGAAATAAATTTGTGAGTTGCAGAATAAATCCCTTATACCCCGCCACGAAAAAAGAAGCTGCACGTGGATTTCTGAGCCGGGGAATAAGTGCCTCATACCAACCACGAAACAAAATGCTCCACGTTATTCACAACTTCACATTTCTTTACATAGCACATGTTTACCTCGGGTCAATCGAACAGCTGTTTTCTATCAATATTCAATTTGTCTTAATTCTTTTACAATGGCAAATTGAAACATGGCGGCATGATAAATTCGTAGTAGCAGTATCAGTCGGGGTATATGTGGTTTTATGCATCCCACGTTAGGTTTTATACCACTCGCCTCCGGATACTACTACAGCTTATTATATTTCAAATTGTATTTTCCAGTTGTCTGACAACCCAATCACATCCAGCGGCGCCTACTTCCTCCTCAATTCACTGAGAGAAACAAAGTCATCCGGTCTGAACTATGTGGACCTTGGGGTGAGCACACACAGGAGTACTTGATGGTGGTCACACAGCGTACCGGAAGTCACGCTTAAACGTAATGAGTGAGTGAGTTAAAGCTTTACGTCACATCGGCAATATTTCAGCCATATCGTGACGATAAACCTAATGATTGATGACTGGGTGGCAATAATGGCCGCTGAGCGTGGATAGTACGACGGCGCGTGCCTCTTATTGTGTCTAGAAAAATAACACACCTTTACAAGCACATTGAAACATAACGTGACGGCCGCATCTTGAAATGCAGAGTGTTGTCCCTTAGGCATGCCAGTATGCCCTGGTCATTGAATCGAAGTCCAGACTCGCGCCAATTAGATTATTCATTTTCCATCAGCAACAAACACATCGTGGTAAGCATATGCCTTTAATATGATTGTTCTTCCTGCGATTAGAGCCGTGATTAGAAAGTGAAAGACTCTAAAAAAAGAGAGAAGACTTAGTGCTGTTATGTGCCCGTTGTTTTGATAAAATCAGTCAAGCAGGGATGCACGGGGAGACAGGGATGAACATCCCACAACTTGTCATACGAACAAGCCAAACGTTACCATGGTTTACAGGGGTGGGGTGGGATGCGATTGGGTGGGGCGGGTGTTTGTGTTGATTCAGTCGGTGTAAGAAGCTACAATTCGCTGTGTTGCGTCAGAATTCGATAATGATTGTTGGTTTGTTGGTACCAAGTTAAGACAAACTAGCAAACGTTTACTGCCTGCGTCACTTTGGGCTTTCATCCAACGTTAAACTGACACGACGTGAAACTTTAACACTGGCAAAAGCATTGTAAGTCAAACTCACTTTTTCCAGACGCAATGTGTTGAGGGGCCGTTCGTGACGATGTTGCAAGACATGCAGGAGCAGCGAGCCCTGCAGATGAAGTACGGGGCTGTGTGGGACCAGACGATGGAGGCTGAGGACGACGAGATGGACCTGGTGGACGAGAACCCTGTCCTTATCCTGATGGAGTTCGGCAAGCTGCTGGGGCTGAGGCTGACAGACCTCTTCTGTATGATGGACAAAGACAACAGCAAGACGCTCACACGGAAGGAGATCAAGAGCGGGCTATTGGTGGGTCATAAGCTCGTAGTGACACGTTATAACCCTGATTTCCGAGGATGATACGAGTTTTAGTGATCATTAAATCAATCATACTGTAGCTGTTACGAAATCCTTTTCCGGATATATTCAGGTATTTTTATACGAAAGATATATATATTTTACCTATTTCAAATCAGTTTTTTACCAAAGTTCCAATTCTCAGGCCCACTATACCAAACAGTAAGTAAATGAAGTAAAATTGAACACAAATTTAATTACCTAGCGCTTTCAACTCGAACCACGTACGCATCTCCTCAGGCCATAACTGGTTTCATCTAGTAGAGAAGGTGGAGAACACAGAGTGAGTGAGTATGGTTTTACGCCGCTTTTAGCAATATTCCAGCAATATTACGGCGGGGGACACCAGAAATGGGCTTCACACATTGTACCCATGTCGGGAATCGAACCCGGGTCTTCGGCATGACGAGCGAACGCTTTAACCACAAGGCTACCCGACCGCCCCCGGAGAACACAGAGAGCGAGAACCTTGGTCTGTAGGTACTTTGAGACAATATAAATATATGAGGCGGATTGTTTGGGAATTAAAATGTGAGCAATTAATACATTGTGGCCTAAAGCAGTGGTTCCAACTTGGCCCTCTTTCAGGAGTGCAACATACCGCTCTCAGAGAAGGCCATAGACCACTTGGTGGAGAAGTTGGATCAAGATGGCGACGGGGAGATTGACTATGGGTAAGACGTTTGACATCATTATTGACCAACATCAACAGTTGGTACGTTTGTCTTTTGTTATTTTACCTCATGGTTAGCAATATTCCTGGTGAATAACGTCGGTTTGTAAAGATCCAAACATGGGTCGGATAAGACATCCCACAATTGGTTATCTTAGATTTACGACAGCCGTTGTGACATTTGTGAAACAAAGTCCTTACCACCCGATCCAATGTAGCTGCATCTTACGATAACCAAGGGAGCTCTGGGCCCAGTTCAACAAAGCGAAATTAGAGCTAAAGCGGTCGAAACCCATAGACCTACAACGTCGTAGCGCTAAGATCACTTTGCGGAACGGGGTCCCTTGGACCTTCTGTATTTCCTTGATTAAACTCGTGGGCGTATATTTTTTCAGACACTCTTAATTAACCTCCCACGTGTAATCGCAAATATAATAATTGTGAAAAATCGTAGACCTCAGCGTATATTCGAAGTCCGGCGTTTAATCGAGGAAAGACGGTATTCTAATCCGGGTCTCGACTTGATGAAGGCATCAATAAAAGTTAAGAGACTGAATGTTCCTATGTGTGAGAAATAAATCAATGTTAAAAGCAATAAACAAAAGTTTCATGATAGCACAACGATTTAAACATCAATGCAATTAAATGCGAATTGAAGATTGGTGAATATTTTATCTGTTAAAGATATATTTTCGTGAACGCAAGTGTCAAAAATCTTCTCAACAAAATAACTTCCTGTCGTTTAATGAGGGATTTACGGTATTACCCAACGTTTAGTAGCTAGGTCCATACATAAAGTACTCATTTCTGAAACAGAACAGAAACATCTCAAACAGAAAAGATACCTAGCAACACATATTAAAATAGAGAGCCGTGGTCCATTCCACGAAGCGATCGTAACTCCCATATTTTAACATAGACTTAATTACGATTGTCGTAAAGCTGCGACCGCTTTGTGGAACGGGGCACATGTCCCAATTGCAGAAAGCGATCTTCGCGCTACGAGTATCGTAAGTCTATGTCAGGACTAAGACAGCTTTGTGCAAATGGACCCTTGTGGATACAGTGTGGACCTGATTGATTGTGTCATCGTTAATTGAATGCGTGGATAGTTAACCGTATTAGTACTGGTTCATTTGATTGATCCACATTTAATACTCTACAGGCCGCCCTGAGATAACTGGAATATTACTGACTAAAATTTTAAACAATGTTTACGAACTCCTTCATATATTACACATACAACGAAAATGGCGTTTAACATCCGGTCCGGATGTCCCCATGTTTGTTTGTTTGTTGTTTAACGCCGCACTCAGCAATATTCAAGCTCTATGACGGCGGTCGGTCAATAATCTAGTCTCGGCCAGACAATCCAGTGATTGACATCATGAGCATCGATCCACGCAATTGGGATCGATGACATGGATCAACCAAGTCAGCGAGTCTGACCGCCCGACCCCGTAGTCGCCTCTAACGACAAGCATAGTCGCCTTTTACCGCAAGCATGGGTTGCTGAAGACCTATTACACCCCTGATCTTCACGGGCCTATCGCCATGTACATGTACCGTGACCAAAATTGTGACTTGGTGGTCTGACTTTAGATTTCGGTTACTCGTGCCGAACCCAATGGGGTCGGTCGATGCTCATGATGTCAGTCTCCAGTTTGCCTTGTCCACGGAACCGTCACATTGCTTGTCACTACAGTATGAAACTTCATTCACACACTGTGTATCCATCTTGTTCTTGTAGGGAACTAACAGCTGGGCACCAGCAACACCGACGGAAGTTAACGAAGACAATCATGATGTCGCGAGAACGTAACGTTGATATGGAAGACACTGACGTGGGCCGCGTTCGGATAAAGCTACAAAAGTTGATGGCGAAACAACTCGGCGGCGCCATCTTGAATGTTGGTTTCAGTACAATCACAGATCTGTCGAGAAAAGGCGGGAAAGTTGTTGACACGAAGGACAAACATAAGAAGTCAGGGCCTTCCCCGAGACAGAAGTGATATTATGTTGATATTATGACATTAATGATATTATGTGTGCTCGTATGAAAAGATTGTGATATTTTTACGCAAATTTAGTTTGTTTGTTGTTTGATGCCGCACTCAGCAATATCCCAGCTATATGACGGCGGTCTGTAAATAATCGAGTCTGGACCAGGCAATCCAGTGATGATATCATGAGCATCGATCTACGCAACTGGGATACGATGACATGCATCAACCAAGTCAGCGAGCCTGACCACCCGATCCCGTTAGTTACCTCTTACGACAAGCATCGTGTCCTGTTTCGGCAAGCGTGGGTTGCTAAAGACCCATTCTACCCCGGATCATCAAATTTAGTACTAATTATTTTGTAACAAAGGAACCAAAGTCTCACCCCTTATTGGAACACATCTCATTGAAAACGGAATGAATCATCACCTGAAATTGAGATGATGGCCCAGTTGTTAACTTGTCTCGAAACCTGAATAGTTCCCTTCTCACTCGGCTCAGCTCGGCTCGGCTCGGCTCGGCACAGTACAGAAGGACCTCGACCAACGCTGACAAGAATCCACATCGGAACTTGTTTTTTTGCACAAAACTCAACTTGGCAGTCATGAACCTGATATGAATGTTCAAATTGTTTCCTTTTCCTTTTGTCTTCAAGTTAATTTCTCTAAAGCACAAAACCTGTCTTTTAAAATGATCGTCGTGTTCTACGAACCGTTATGTGTGGCGGGATTTGGTGTTACATAGATTTATGATACAGTGAGTTCTACCCATTGCCTTAAGGGTCTTTAGTGCTACAACTGCCGTAAACTCGGCACTGTAACTGGTGCATGGGTGTTCCCTGAGAAACCGCAATTCACAGCACTGGGTTGCGTCCCTTAGGCGGGCCAGGAAGATATAATGGTTTGGTCGAATCTATGTTTCTAGATTTGTCAGCACCATACCCGTGCTTGTGGGTTTCACCAAAGTGAAACGACTAAGACATGCATCATTTCGGGCTTTCCTCCAACATCAAGCTGACACGTCGTGATAAAACTGAAATATTGTTTAAAGCGGCGGTAAACCACACACTCACCTACGGTACCTTGCGACGGATGGAAAGCCATGTTCCATTTGAGGAATGGGTCCCAGAGAATGACGTCATGAATAAAAACATGACACTGGTATTGTTTAGGATGCGGTCAGTCGATACACCTGCTTGATTGTGAACAAGAAGTCAAATAATATTGAAGTGTCAAACGTTTTGGTGACGTATTCTGTACAATCGCGTATTTACGACAATTATGCCATCTTGTATTGAGTGAGATGTCGGTCTGCACTATCTTTGATTATCCAGTAATCTCCATCCTATTTTTAGAACCCTGAACCGATAGCTTATTTTGGGAAGTGACGTCACACTTTCTATCATAACGTTTCCACAATAAGTATCTCGCAATGTAGTGCAATTTGATTGGACTGGTGTTGCTAGCGTGGAATCATTCGAATCGGACTCAAACGAAGCTATGGTAGCGAATCGAAGGATAGTTTGCTTACTTGAATGGAGACATAAATACACTAGATGGTCGAGGATGGTTCAGCGCATGCTCTGTCTGGTTTTATTAACTTTGTTGTATTTATATTTTTCTTGAAATTGTATATACGTATATTGAACAATGAAATAAATATATGTGATTAATGCGTGCATATTGAATCGAAATTAAACCATCTTACCCGTCATGGAAACCAGCGGAACAAAACAGAGCATACCTTTATTACTTTCGGGATCATGTTGTCAGAACAGAGCATACCTTTATTACATTTTGATCATGTTGTCAGAACAGAACCCACCTTTATTACATTTGGATCGAGTTGTCAGAACAGAACACACCTTTATTACATTTGGATCATGTTGTCAGAGCAGAGCATACCTTTATTACATTTGGACCATGTTGTCAGAACAGAACACACCTTTATTACATTTGGATCATGTTGTCAGAACAGAACACACCTTTATTACATTAGGGATCATCTTGTCAGAACAGAACACACCTTTATTACATTTGGATCATGTTGTCAGAACAGAACACACCTTTATTACATTTAGATCGAGTTGTCAGAACAGAACACACGTTTGTTACACACACCTTTATTACATTTGGATCATGTTGTCAGAACAGAACACACCTTTATTACATTTCGATCATGTTGTCAGAACAGAACACACCTTTATTACATTTAGATCGAGTTGTCAGAACAGAACACACCTTTATTACATTTAGATCGAGTTGTCAGAACAGAACACACGTTTGTTACACACACCTTTATTACATTTGGATCATGTTGTCAGAACAGAACACACCTTTATTACATTTCGATCATGTTGTCAGAACAGAACACACCTTTATTACATTTAGATCGAGTTGTCAGAACAGAACACACCTTTATTACATTTGGACCATGTTGTCAAAACAGAACACACTTTTGTTACATTTGGATCATGTTGTCAGAACAGAACACACCTTTATTACATTCGGGATCATCTTGTCAGAACAGAACACACCTTTATTACATTTGGATCATGTTGTCAGAACAGAACACACCTTTATTACATTTAGATCGAGTTGTCAGAACAGAACACACGTTTGTTACACACACCTTTATTACATTTGGATCATGTTGTCAGAACAGAACACACCTTTATTACATTTGGATCATGTTGTCAGAACAGAACACACCTTTATTACATTTAGATCGAGTTGTCAGAACAGAACACACGTTTGTTACACACACCTTTATTACATTTGGATCATGTTGTCAGAACAGAACACACCTTTATTACATTTCGATCATGTTGTCAGAACAGAACACACCTTTATTACATTTAGATCGAGTTGTCAGAACAGAACACACCTTTATTACATTTGGATCATGTTGTCAAAACAGAACACACTTTTGTTACATTTGGATCATGTTGTCAGAACAGAACACACCTTTATTACATTCGGGATCATCTTGTCAGAACAGAACACACCTTTATTGCATTTGGATCGAGTTGTCAGAACAGAACACACCTTTATTACATTTGGATCATGTTGTCAGAGCAGAGCATACCTTTATTACATTTGGACCATGTTGTCAGAACAGAACACACCTTTATTACATTTGGATCATGTTGTCAGAACAGAACACACCTTTATTACATTAGGGATCATCTTGTCAGAACAGAACACACCTTTATTACATTTGGATCATGTTGTCAGAACAGAACACACCTTTATTACATTTAGATCGAGTTGTCAGAACAGAACACACGTTTGTTACACACACCTTTATTACATTTGGATCATGTTGTCAGAACAGAACACACCTTTATTACATTTCGATCATGTTGTCAGAACAGAACACACCTTTATTACATTTAGATCGAGTTGTCAGAACAGAACACACCTTTATTACATTTAGATCGAGTTGTCAGAACAGAACACACGTTTGTTACACACACCTTTATTACATTTGGATCATGTTGTCAGAACAGAACACACCTTTATTACATTTCGATCATGTTGTCAGAACAGAACACACCTTTATTACATTTAGATCGAGTTGTCAGAACAGAACACACCTTTATTACATTTGGACCATGTTGTCAAAACAGAACACACTTTTGTTACATTTGGATCATGTTGTCAGAACAGAACACACCTTTATTACATTCGGGATCATCTTGTCAGAACAGAACACACCTTTATTACATTTGGATCATGTTGTCAGAACAGAACACACCTTTATTACATTTAGATCGAGTTGTCAGAACAGAACACACGTTTGTTACACACACCTTTATTACATTTGGATCATGTTGTCAGAACAGAACACACCTTTATTACATTTGGATCATGTTGTCAGAACAGAACACACCTTTATTACATTTAGATCGAGTTGTCAGAACAGAACACACGTTTGTTACACACACCTTTATTACATTTGGATCATGTTGTCAGAACAGAACACACCTTTATTACATTTCGATCATGTTGTCAGAACAGAACACACCTTTATTACATTTAGATCGAGTTGTCAGAACAGAACACACCTTTATTACATTTGGATCATGTTGTCAAAACAGAACACACTTTTGTTACATTTGGATCATGTTGTCAGAACAGAACACACCTTTATTACATTCGGGATCATCTTGTCAGAACAGAACACACCTTTATTGCATTTGGATCGAGTTGTCAGAACAGAACACACCTTTATTACATTTAGATCGAGTTGTCAGAACAGAACACACCTTTATTACATTTGGATCATGTTGTCAGAACAGAGCACACCTTTATTACATTTGGATCATGTTGTCAGAACAGAACATACCTTTATTACATTTAGATCGAGTTGTCAGAACAGAACCCACCTTTATTACATTTGGATCATGTTGTCAGAACAGAACCCACCTTTATTACATTTAGATCGAGTTGTCAGAACAGAACACACCTTTATTACATTTGGATCATGTTGTCAGAGCAGAGCATACCTTTATTACATTTGGATCATGTTGTCAGAACAGAACCCACCTTTATTAGATTTGGATCATGTTGTCAGAACAGAGCACACGTTTGTTACATTTCGATCATGTTGTCAGAACAGAACACACCTTTTTTTGCATTTGGATCATGTTGTCAGAACAGGACACACGTTTGTTACACACACCTTTATTGCATTTGGATCATGTTGTCAGAACAGAACACACCTTTATTACATTTGGATCATGTTGCCAGAACAGAGCACACCTTTATTACATTTGGATCATGTTGTCAGAACAGAACACACCTTTATTACATTTAGATCGAGTTGTCAGAACAGAACACACCTTTATTACATTTGGATCATGTTGTCAGAACAGAGCACACCTTTATTACATTTGGATCATGTTGTCAGAACAGAACCCACCTTTATTAGATTTGGATCATGTTGTCAGAGCAGAGCACACGTTTGTTACACACACCTTTTTACATTTCGGGGCGGTCGGGTAGCCTAGTGGTTAAAGCGTTCGCTCGTCACGTCGAAGACCCGGGTTCGATTCCCGACATGGGTACAATGTGTGAAGCCCATTTCTGGTGTCCCCCGCCGTGATATTGCTGGAACATTGCTAAAAGCGGTGTAAAACAATACTCACTCACTCACTCACTCACTCACTTTATACATTTCAGATTGTATTCTCAGAATA